CTTAATCCACGCAACCCAAAGAGACCTCTCCCCCATCGGGATTTTTCGAACATATTTATTCATATTAGTTCGTTTGTTAAATGAACAATTTTTTTTACTTATACTCATTTATTTAATTTAATAAATAAATATAAATAAACATGTACGTTCAGTTGACAAAGACTTTGTCAAACACTATCTTCATAGTATTGTCTTTTAAATTTTTAAAGAGCGTAGAGTCTAATTTTATTAAGAGCCGTGTGTATACGCTCTCCGTACATAGTGAGGGATTATTATGATGTGAAGTTTTAAAATTTTGAGGATAAATAGCTTAGTCGAGTTGAAATGTTCCTCAATCGTCATCGTCTCCGTCGAGTTTAACCACTTTGCCCAAGCAGGCACATGACCTCTGAGTTTCTTCTACTATACCTTCAACGTTTCATCAAACATCCAAACCAAATCAAGCAAACCCATTCCCTGCTGATCACCGGCGGTCACCTCCTCAACACCCAGCAAAGCCAATACACTTCTTCAAAATGGAAAACAACCCTCCTTTACAACACCTTAATAAGAGCCTATCTCGGCATAATCCCATCACTTTCCCTTACACTCTTCACCCTCATGCTCCGTTATCAAGCATCCCCCAATGCCCACACTTTCACTTCCCTTTTCAAAGCCGCATCTACGTCTCTCTCCTTAGCCACACTCACTTGCTCACCCCTCCATGCCCAAGCACTAAACCGTGGCGTATTGTCTGACCCGTTCGTGCAAACATCATTGTCCGTCTGTAAGCTGAACTCGGTGGTTTATGCAATGCGTGTAAAGTGTTTGAAGAAATGTTTGACCCTTGCATTGTCGCGTGTAATGCGATGCTCGATGCTTTTGGGAGAAATGGTGAGATGGGTTCCGCGCTTTTCTTTTTTAACTGCATGATTGAAAAGGATGTGGTGTCTTGGACAAGTGTTATGAATGGTTTTCTTAGGCGTAAACAGTTTGTAAAGGGGTTTTGGGCTTTTGAGAAAATGATGGATTTTTCAGTGAAACCGAATGAGGCTACTTATGTTAACGTACTCTCTTGTTGTGCTAATTTAGAAGAACGAAGTGGATTTTACCTAGGGAGACAGATACATGGTTATATTTTCAGAAACGAAGTTGTTATGACTATTTTCATAGGGACATCATTGATTGATTTCTATGGAAAGAAAGGGCATTTAGAGATTGCTTTTGGAGTATTTAATCAAATGTTGGATAGAGAGGTTTGTACTTGGAATGCAATGATCTCTTCACTTGCATGTAATGGCAGAGAAAAGGAGGCATTGAACTTGTTTGAGAAGATGAAAGTGGCTGGAGTGTATCCGAATGAGGTTACATTCGTTGCTGTTCTTACAGCATGTGCTCGTACCAAGAGAGTCGAGTTGGGTTCGGAACTCTTTCGATCGATGCAGAGTCAATATAGCATTGTGCCGATAATGGAACACTATGAGTGTATGGTAGATCTTTTAGGCAGAGCAGGGCTTTTAACTCAAGCAACCGAGTTCGTTAACAGTATGCCATTTCAACCCGATGCATTGGTGTTGGGCGCGCTTTTAGGCGCTTGTAAGATTCACGGGGCCTTCGAACTCGGAAATGAAGTTGGGAGAAGGTTGCTTGAGTTGCAGCCACGACATTATGGTCTCTATGTAGCATTATATACCATAAATGCTGATAAGGAGAGCTGACTTGAGGAAAGCGATGGTAGAAGCTGGTATTAAAAAAGTTCCAGCTTATAGCTTCATCTGATTCCTTGTGAATATTAATAGTCAATAATAATTAAAATATTAGAGATTTCATTATTTGATTTCAACTTTAGATTAGATTAGGGATGACCACGCGATGAAACGGGCTGATTTTTAGTCGCCTTTCTATCCCGTCCCGTCCCAAATATATTTAATTTTTTTCCGTCCCCATTTTTACACTAAAAATTCAACCCTAACTCGATGCGATCCGAATATATTAATATTTTAAAATAATTAAAATAACATATTTTATAATAATTTACTATATTCTTAACAATTAAAGAAAATATTTTAACATTATAAAAATAAAAATTCTTAAAATTTTAAATATATATTATATATATATAAGAATAAAAATGATAATTTATATAAGGTCGAATCATATCGTTGATTTTCTATCATAAACCCGATCCTGCCTGCCCCGAAATTAGTTATTATATAATCCGTCCTACCCCAAACTCGATTTAAAAAATTTTATAGAATTGGATCGGGTTGGAACTCGTTCGGAACTAGTTACATTCAGATATTTTAACAATCCCTATCTTTGATTGAACAATCAAATGTTCCGTAATAAAAAAAGTTGTCTTTCTTATTCGAATAGGAATTTACAATAAAGATTAAAGATGCAAACAAATCAGTATGATGAGATTTACATATGAAAGACAGATGAAACTCTTGCTTGCTTGACTTCTTTTTAGCCCTACTCGGATGTATATTATTGAAATTTTGTTTGACATTATATATATGATTAAGATCTAGTTATACAATATAAAACTCTTTAGTTTTATATATTTTATACAAAATTAAGATCGTTAGATGAGTGCAAATAGATGATTGAGATTGATTCTTTGTTTTTTCTCCAACGAATATCTTCTCATTTCCTACTATTGATTTCAGTCATCTATTTTCACTCATCCAACGGTCCTAAATCTACTAAATGTGAATAGAATGATTAACACATGATTTTATGTTAAGGTGAACTTGTAAAATTTTAGAAAAGATAAATACATATTATCAATAGTAAATATAAAAAAAATATCTAAACTAAATGAGAATATGAAATTTTTAACGAGAGTCAACCTCTTTGGTTCATCCCTGGTTAAGACCACCTTTGACAATCCACCAGGGTGGCTTCTACCGACTGTATTTTTCAATTGATTCTAAATCCTATCGCGTGTCTGGTTTGTATTTATTTTGGTGAATTACTTTGAGTTCAGGTAATTATTTGATATTTATCGTGATTGATTCTAATATATATTAGAGTAAAATATCTCCCATGTTAATTATGTGTTCAATAACAAGCGGGTCATTTTTTAGAATATTATAATTTAGTCACTTAATTAAAATATTGTTACAAACAATATTATAACAATGAAATGACATGTTTCTAGCAATACTTTAATTGAGTGTTATCTCTATATATTAAAAAAAACACTTATTTGTTACCAAATACATAATTAGGTGATATTAGATATAATTTACCTTATAAATAACACAAATATAAATAATATTGAGAGTTTGTCCTAACCTTAAAGGATTATTATTTGATACATTAGTAGTGGAGTTTTTTTATAAGTGATTTTTGCTAATATTTTTTTACTAATACTAATAGTAATTTATATTCTACCTTTTCATCTATTAATATGAACGCGTATTGTGAAGACTCACTACGGAACAAGTATCTCATTCTATTAGATTTTTACAAATATTTTTTTTATTAAATAGAAAGTATTACATTTCAAGACAAATATTAGGATTCAAATCCACATAAAATAATACGATATAAATATCTTTGACTATTGGATCAGTTAATAGATCTCTCTACAAATAATTTTAATTCATCATTAAATATGATTAGTTATTTATTTAAATATTAATTAAAGTCGCATTATAATAAATAAAAGTAATGAAAAATATATATCATCAATATGTATTTATGCAAATAGAAAGTTGTTACTCTTATTAGAAAATGGAAATATCTAAAATTACAATGAAAGACTTACAACCATAAGCGTAAAGCAAACACATAATTATGATAATTTTTTTAATTAATCATTGGTATTTGATCTATTGACCGACTAATCCAGATCGGGTACTGCAGAGACGAGGGCGACCCTGCCAACCCAGTTTACTCTATTTGCAAACGTCGGGATTTGGACCTATGACCTTGTTTAAGGGATCTAGTGCCTCATCCCACTAGACCAACTGGGATCATATAAGGACCACACAAGGAAAAAGTTAAAAATTCATCTAAAAACTCGAACGAAATATCAAAACAAACAGATATGACTGCATCGGTAAATGAACCATATCATGGGACGAATCTATTAAAAGACCACCGACAATCAGAAATTAGAGTCGAGCATCGTGAGATAATTATCTCTGAACTCTAACTGCTTATTAAAATCTAATATAACGATCCCAAACAGAGAATATCAATATAATAATAAATAAAACACCATCTTAATCAATTAAGACGATATCAAGTTTAACTTAAAAATTTTAAATAAAAACAACCCTCAAACGATGGATAAAAAATTTGAAAACATATTGAGAGACAAAAAAATATATGCTACAAAAATAAAGAAATGCATGTCATCTAATAGACTTATTAAAAACTAAAATATACAGAAAAAGTAAAAAAAAATCATCTGCTGACAATCAACCCTTAGATTAATGCCACATGAAGATGAAAAAGGGAAGCGAGCAAGCGAGGTTAAAAAATTTAGAGAGAGTTTGACATACATCAATATGTTAAATAACTATATTGGTTTAAATTAATATAAAAATTCTTATAATTCAAAAGGTTGGATCACTTGCTTCTGCAATCTTAACTTTTTGCACAACGCAAGCTATTTAAGTTGGAGCCTTTTAAGGCTTTAGCTTTAATGACGAAATTAAACTAAGTAATCATGTTTATGCATATATAGTCCTCATTTACACCCTTTATTTGTTTGTATGTTTCATCATCTTCTTCTTCTATTTTGTACTTGTTCCTTCTTGTGGCAACTTGAAAAGGAAAGCCTTTTTCTGACTCAGAGGAGCTGACTATTTATTAGGCTCCAAAAACTGCAAAATAAACACTTGTTTTTTGCCGCAAGAGGTGAGAGATTCTCTCTCTTCATTGCTCGTGGGGACTTCCATGGATGATTGATTCCCCCATTCTTTTACCATCTTCACAGCATTTTTCTAGCTAATTGTTTTCTGGGTTTTCTTTGCATTTGCAATATCCTTGTTAATAAGAAAATGAGTCAACTCGGTGTAGATAAGGAGAGGAGGAGGAGGAGTTTCAAAGAACGGCTGGGATTCAAAGTCATGGGGTGTTGTTGTGGGTCCAACTGGGGATTCGGGTCAACGACCATGAACCTCAGAGACGAAGATGAACTTGAAACGGAAGAACAAGTTCGTAATCCGGATCCAGGTTGCGTCAACCCGGCTCTGGTTTCGTCGGGCATGAACCTAGCGGCGGCTTTAGCAGCGGAGCGACATTTCCGGGCATCGCATGAACCGCAAGGATCGCCGGGGACGCCACTGAGGGTGTCGTTGATGAGGCTGTTGGAGGAGGCAGAGGAGGAGGAGAAAGAGAAGGAGAAAGGGAGGAGCGTGGAAATAGGGAGTGATTCGACATGCTGCGTGTGCATGGGGAGGAAGAAAGGTGTAGCGTTTATCCCATGTGGACACACTTTTTACAGGGTTTGTTCGAGGGAATTGTGGTGGAATCGAGGGTCTTGTCCCCTCTGCAACCGTTCGATCCTCGAGATTCTTGACATTTTCTGATCATCATTGGTCCTCCTCTATTCTTGATGATTATGATGATGATGCTAATGTCTGATCAATACTGAACATCATGATGACGAAGGTGCTTCGAGATCATAAGATATTGGAGAAAGAAAGGGAATTAATTGGTTAAACTTCATAACAGGTCCACGAATTTGTGAATTTAGTTTTTACTATTAGCTGATCATTTCAAAAGACATATGTTATAGGAATATTTTTCATACGATTTGACCAAATTATTTTTGTTATAGGAATATTTGGAATTATCTTCCTATTCTCTATTATTTGAATAATGTTTAGTTCTTAAAAAATATACAGTAATTTCCTGCTTATTTTTTGAGGAATTATTTTATTAATGTTGATTTTTAAGTGAAAATGTTAATATTTTGTATAACTGAATGGTTATAATTTATACAAATAATTATGATAAAAAGAATTAGAATATAATTATATTATATATATTAAATAGTTAAAACTTTGAATTATTATATTTCTATATAATTACGTTGTATTGTTCAAACACACTCATAATAATTAATATTAAACTAATAATGTTAATATATATTATTTTCATACACGGGTGATAAAATTTAATATATAAAAACATATATTTGTTCTTGTATTAGATGATATGCCTAAAGCATATTTATAGTATTGAAAACAATTGATTGAGATACTAATAAGAGTGTATAATGATAAAATATATTGTATTCATAAAATGAGAATTTAAATTCAAATCTTAATTTTTTTTTGCCAGGGGTAATAATTATAAATCTTAAATATAAACTATAATAATTAATTGATGTAAGATTCGGACATTTGATTCGAGCTACTTCTTCAAGCTATAAATAATAATAACAATAACAATAATCATTAATAATCCACAATGAACCTATCAACCCATTTTCCCTCTATCACACGTTCAAGCTAGTTTCACAACACACAGGGAAAGATGCAATGTATCAATTTCCATATTATGGAAGTTACCCTTCAGGCTACAAGTACAAGAACTTTAATCGTTCCTCGACTTTTTGCCGTCAGCAGCGTCGGCCTATCGCTCTTCCAACATACCGCGTTAGCTGATGAAGTCAGATCCAACATCCTCATCGGCATCAGCCACTTCGGAACCAAATCGATGCCAAGCTGCAGGGTTAGATATAACCTGCAAGAGTAAATATAACTTGGATTATAAATTGGTTTGATGCCAAAACACTATATTCTCCCATATGTTTTATTAACAGACCTTGTGATAAACAAATACATCATTCGTTTCGCTGCCGCAGCCAATGTACTCGTTATTTACCGTAAGACCCACGAAATTCTTCTCGTTGGTGCATGTGACCTTTAAACGTGCGCAACTGACACAATATAGAACACTCGGTCAGATGGTAACTACAAAGTCGCATGCCGTGTAACTTATATGGTAAACTTACAGGCAAATTTTCTTTTACATCCCATAAGCGCAGAGTGCTGTCAGTAGATGCAGAAGCCAATTCATTGTTGGACAAAAATTTCACATATGAAACAGCTTTCTTGTGTCCACCAAATACATACAGGGGTTGGCTGATATTTCTCAAGTCATAATAGTGAATGTGATGATCGGCGGAACCGACCTGCAAGAATTCAAAAACCTCAAACTTAAATAAACCCTTCTTTGTTCATGATCTTCTGAAATTTATGCAAGTATGTTTGTTAATGGAAAACAATAAAAAAAGTTGAATTTATTTAACCAAGGCATACCGCCACATGAACGCTGGATCCAGGATTGTACTTGACAGAACAAATGTTTGCTCAATTTAACCCTTTGATGCAGATATGTTAGTTTATTTTGGTAAGTGAAAGTGAGTGATGATAGGTTTGGAATTCGAATTGCTTTTCGTTTTTTCAGTTGCTCAATATCAGTACTTGGAATCATTTGTATTATATTTGATAATCTGTTTAATAAATCAAACAATGTCATCTCGAATTTTGAACGGTATTGACATAATAATCCTCGCGAAAATCTATAATTCCATATATACTTGATGTACACAGGTTAAAATTTATTATATACACTAAAATATACTCATGGATCTTCACAAAGACAACATATTCTATATAGCTTCAACCGCCGTCGACCCAGAACGTCGAGGCATACTGATCCGAAGTATAGATTATCCTTTGATTAGTAAGCGATTTTGAACTTCCTCTTTAAGTGTTATATGTCTTGATTTCTACCACATTTGCATGGATGCAAGTAACGTTGGCATTGTGATACTTCAACTTTTCCCATCCTAACAATACTTTTTTTAAAAAAAAATTAGCATGGAGTGATTACAAGAATAGTATATGTTCAAAATCATTCTTAATCTTCGACAATGCACTCACACTTGTAGACGGAACTGCTCGAACCCAAAACCTCAAAGAATAATAACACTCTCTTTAACCATTGAAGTTGCTTGATGAGTTCTCCGTCCTTAGAATATTTAGGTGTCGTGCCATCCGATTGCGAAATAAAAACTAGGATAGATAGCGACGTGTCTACACAAGGACAACATTGTTATTTTGATTAGCGAGCACGAGTCGAGCAAAATTTTAACGAGTTTAACGAACAGCGAATTGAGTAAAGTAAAAAAAATATTTTAATGAGCACATGTCAAACACTACTATACTCACAATTGACTTGCTCAATAAGCACCCTACTTAAGAGATACCCTAAGCTAAAGGTCTGAAAGTTCAAAGTTCTTTTTTGATTTAGAGTAGGACCGAATCTTAATTAATTAATAAGAAAAGTACCAGTTACAACTAAATTAATTAGCCATATGATACAAGAATATCCGTGGGGACCACGGTACAAGATTCATAAACAATGAAGCTCAGCGGATGACATATGAAAGCAACATGATATCATGCATTAACTGTAGCCAACATCATGCTTTTTTTTTTCTTCTAAATCAATGGCAGTAATATCTGGACATAATCGAACTATGAGAGGGACTGACTTGTCTAATTTAAAAAAAGAGACCTTTTAAGAATATAAACCCAAAAATTCAGAGGCAAAGCTTAATTTGGCTAAACTATGCTCATGCAGTCATGCTATGAATTTGTGCTTGTTTGCTCTACCCAACTCTCCTCTTAACATTGTCGTAACCGGTTTTCGTTCAGGTACTAATTTTTTATTTGGTAGGAAAAGTGATGTTAATAAATGGTTTTAAAATGTTTTGGGAGTCGCCATCGGCCTTTTGGGTCAGGTAGGCCGAATACATAAAAATTATCTTTTAAAAGAGTTTTTAAGAAAACATCAGTTAAAAGATAAACTGGTCTGCGTTTTAACAAAAAATTCGTTTTTTTTAATAATAAAAAATGATTCGTGGTCGATTACGTTTGGAGAAGGATTAGCACCCCCACAATGCCCAAAATTGGTACTTATTAATTATAAATTGTCTCTATTATTGAAAATTTAAAAATTCAAAAATATATTTAATTCATAATCTTGTTATTTCAAACTTATTAATATAATATATTAATATCTATATTTTTAAATAAGATATTTATTTAGAAATATCAGAAAATGACTTCTAGGTGCTTTAAGACAGCTCATTTCTTAATATTTAAAAAATAAATAAATAATAATAAAATATTTATCTAAAGATAATTAAAATATATATAATTTATAAAAGTAAGATAAAATATTTATTTATCTAAAAATATCAAAAAATAGACATCCAGTTGCTTTAAGACTGTCCTTTCTTAATATTGAAAAATAAATAAATATTAAAATATGATTTTTTAAAAAGTAATTTATGTAAAATTAAATTAGGATTTAATATATATATAAAGTAAAAGTAAGTAAATAAGTATTATTTATTATTATATATATTTATATGGCTATATAATAATAATAACAATAATATTTAAATATATAAAAATGTAAAATTAAGACATAAATAAACAATAATAAAATTAGAACTATATATTTAAAAGCAATAAAACTTTATAATAAATGAAAATATTTAAAATTAGTGACTAAATTATAATCTAATAAAATTAAATACCTAATTCATAATTAATTATTTAAAATTACAGGGATTAAACATATTATTTTACCCATTTATTAATTTGGTGACTAAAATAAAATTATATTAAATTAGTACATTAAATTAAAATAAATTAAAACATGTTGTTCGGGATTAAAATATTAAGTAACAAAATTACAAGGACTAAACATATTATTTATCCTAAAATATATAAATATTGGCATGGGCTAAATTATAAATTAATAAAATTAGAAGACCGAATTAAAACTTATTAAAATTGATTTCAGTGACTAAATCGTAAAGATTACAAACTATAAACACTGCGGACATAATTGGACGATCCGCTAAATTACGCATATACCCTTCATCAAAATGGCGTCGTTTTGATTAGGGTATATTAACCCTATAACCGGCCCTCTTGGGCAAATATTTCTCATTTCTTCCTTCTTTCTCTCTCTCTAAAAGAGAGAATTAAACATTCTCTCTCGCCTCTCTCTAAAACTGAGAGAGAGAACCGATCGGCAGCCGCGCTCTAGCGCCTGCCACCATCGCCTGCCACCGCCAACGGTGGCCGAAAATTTACAATTTACCCCAAATCAAAGCTCCAATTACCCTAAAGCCCGATCTAAGGTTATTTTGGCCTAAAAACTTACCAAACGTCGTAGATCTAGAATTGTTCCCTTCGACGGTTTGGTTCTCCGGTGGTTTGTGGGGGGTTCCGATGAACAGAGTAAGTTTATCTTCGTCTCTCTTTTTTTTTCTCTTATTTTTTCTCTTATTTGTATTGTTTGGTGCTTATTCTTGCTTGCTCTGTTTCCCCGTGTCCGTTGGTTGCTTCCTCCCCTTTTCTTCTCTGCATGAGATGGCCGTTTATAGGCCTCGTCAGTGTTTTCTTCGGACCAGTTAAAGGAATGGCACTCGGTGAGTCACCGAACTATAGCAACGTGGACAAGGCAGCTGGTTTCTGGAGGCTTCAGCGTGTCAGCAGGGCGTTGGATCACCCAGTGCTGGAAGCTGCTGGAAATGATGCGTGGAGGGGCTACTGGATGGAGGGGGCTGCTCGGGTAAAAATTTAGTGTCTACAAACATCATTGGGAAAAACCAACAGATTACCACAATAATTTCCGAATAAACACAAGGTTTTCATATTCGATCCTTGTCAGTCGTTCCTGATTATGTCTTTCATAATTTCAGAATCCAGGAGAAATTTCTTTCGAGATTTATCCACCTCAATCAGCTATAGGCCATACATTTACTCTGAAACTCTAACTAGAAATATCAGACTCATATATACCATTTCATTCAAAAACACAAAAACTAAGTCAAGTAAGCAGAATCAGTAAGTCATAAATGTAAATAATAGAGCTTACAGTTGCATACATGGACTCTTCCTCTTCAAACTTGTTCTGGAAAAGTCTTGCCTCTAAATTTTTAGGTACAAGGTTTCCCGGTCCGACCTTCCACTAGAGAAGAACGTCGTCTTTTTCCTTGGTTTTCTTAGAAACGGCGATATTTAAGCCCTCTGCACCACCACCATATGTAACTGAAACCTTGATAAATGAAATGAAATATTGAACTGAACTTGCATTATACTCAGTAATGACTATTTTCTATACAGTAGTGTGGTAAAGGCTATGACTCTTAACGAGGCTATATGTCACAAATGCAATGCTGATTAACCAGCATTCAACTTCTTGAAACCGACCAAAGATACTCATCTTTGTGTGCTTTGGAAGGGGAGACTTGAAAGATATGAGATCGCTGCAGAAGGTGCACATATAACTGGAATTTGAGACCTTATTTATGTTGGCACCATGGTACACTCATTCAGTTAACTCGGTAAACTATGGACCAAATGTACCTATGAAGCATCTAAGCATAGTGGCATTTAAGTTCCACTTCAATCTATAATGAAGCCCTAAGCTGAAATACCAAACGTAAAGAATGTATAAACAATATTCAGTGAAGGATATACGAGACGAAAATGAATGAATTTTGTACAACGGGTATTCAGCTTTACCAACGGTCACAAATTCAATTTCTTTATCCGTAGTCAAAAGGCAAATTTATCGGGGAAGAATGGTAGTTAGTTAAGATATTGATAAAACTACAATATTGATCCATTTTTTTATATATTTGGTCCCTGGAGAGATTCAGATTTGTTGTTGGTCCACAACTACCATTCCTGTGTCTCCTGCGGGAACCTTCCTTTCTTGCTTAGACCAACAGTTCACCATCTCTTTTTCTCTATCAAAGAAACCATCTTTTTTTAAGGAACAGAGAACCCCTTTGCTTTTCCCTGTTGAGTGACAATGGTTAATATGATAGTACTGAAGGTGGTGATGGTGATGGTTATAATGGCACCCGGCCTTGGACTGAAACGGATCGGAGCACAACCGCATCAGCACGTGGTCGGAGATGACCGTGGGTGGGACCCTTCCTCCGACATCGCTACTTGGTCCTCCGGTCGAAGCTTCAGGGTCGGAGACAAAATCTGTAAGTTGATATATGTTATGTATGTGATACGTATAAATGTGTTAAAAATTTAGTCTACAAGTTTCGAAGAATTTATATCATATTCATGTTAACATTTAACGTTCGGAGCTAGTAGATGGGTTGATGGATGGATACTTGAGGACTGTATCATATTCATTTAGTCTACATGTGTAATCAATATTGATACTTAGGATTAAATTAAAATATTTTGAAGTTTGGAACTACTTTAGAATTTTAACCATAAATTTGGAGTGTTTTGTGAATTAGCCTCCCCTTAAGCACTCTTCGTTTGTTATAAAGAAGAGTAAAAAGAATTATGGACGAAGAGCGGAGAAAGAAGAGAAAGATCGATTAGAATGGTTGTTTCTTGGCTAAAGTGTGTCAGGTCAGTGGTTAACGTGTC